AAACAGGGAATTGGTTCCATACTGGTGACATGAGCTCTTACGGCTTTAAGACTGTCGCTGCCTTAACGCTGTGGCCACCTGAACCTGTGGCCACTTTAACACATCTGCCACTTTATATGACTTCTACCACACTGGAGAGGGAGAGGGACAGGGCATGTAAATTCACTATAAAACCTTCCTACTAGTTTGAAGTGTTCCCCCACTTTTTCTTTCATTCAGCACTTGCTTGGTTGTTGTAAGCTTTTGACTGTTTTTCAGAGTTCACAGAATTCTGAAAATATATGCCTTTTTTTCTATATTTCTGGGGCTTGGGAGGGGTGATGAGACTTGGGAAATTCCTACTCCAGGTTTTGCTGATGTCCAGCACTAAACTCTTATTTTTTAAACTTTTTTTCCCCATTAGCAATAGGGTGCAATCAGAGAGAATAGTAAAAAGACACAAAGAAATTGTGGCCAGGGACGCCTGGGTGACTCAGTCGGTTAAGCGGCTACCTTCAGCTCGGGTCACGATCTCAGGGTCTTGGGATCGAGCCCCACATCTGGCTCCTTGCTCAGCAGGGAGCCTGCTTCTCCCTCTCCCTCTGCCTGCCACTCCCCCTGCTTGTGCGCTCTCGCTCTGTCAAATAAATAAATAAAATCTTCAAAAAAAAGAAAACAAGAAATTGTGGCCAGTTTTGTTTGATTTGGTGTATGTTTTTTATGTTACATATTGTGCCAATTATGACTAATTATTCCATTTGGAGGCACATATGCTGATAGAACTAAACATCAAGTCCTTATTTCTGTTATAAGTTTGAACTAGCACTTCTAAGTATATAAAAAAATTAATCTCTAATTTAACTGACTTAGGTATCTTCATTGTTCTGATGTGGGTTTACCTTGTTAAGCACTTAAAAATTGTTATCTAGGCATTAGGGTTGGCTTGGGCTCTTGAGTTCAGAAAGCTAAAATATGAAAAATATCAGCAAAACAAAAGAATTTAGGTGTAGAAAGAACCCCACAGATTATATCATTCCAGTGATTCTCACAGCAGTCACAGAGAGATCTCTAAACCCACATATTCTGAGGCCCTGCCCTATTGAACCAATTCTCTGTGGGTTCAGTTAGGAAATCTGTATTTCAAAAACTTCTCTAGTTGATTCTCATGCCTAGGTTGGTTTGCAAACAAATGATATCATTTAACTCTCTAGATTTTAAGGTAGAGAAAAATGAGGCCCCAGGAGGTAAAGCGAGTTAACCACAGTGGGTACTTCTTTGGAGTCAATAAACTATCTCACAACTTTGTTATTCTGGAAAGGAAGACCACATCCCCTAGAAAGCAAACAAACCAAAATACTGAAGACGAAGGGTAAGAGGGAGGGAGAGAGGGAGGAAGAATGGGGAGGGGAAAAGACAAAATTCAGTCTTGTTAAAGTCGGTAGAGTAAAAAAAAATGTTAAACTAGTGTGGAATCTACAAGGTACCAACAACTGGTTTGGTACAAGTTTTCTACTCGAGAAAGTTTTCAACTAGAGTTTTCAACTAGATAGTTGGTTCTGAAGATACAAGTTTATATCAATTCTTGCTTATCTTCACAAATGGTTATGGACAGGGGCGCCCGGGTGGCTCAGTCGTTGGGCATCTGGCTGCGGCTCGGGTCGTGATCCCAGGGTCCCGGGATCGAGCCCCGCATCGGGCTCCCTGCTCCGCGGGAGGCCTGCTTCTCCCTCTCCCACTCCCCCTGCTTGTGTTCCCTCTCTCGTTGTATCTCTTTGTCAAATAAATAAATAAAATCTTAAAAAAAAAAAAAAAACAGTTGATTATGGACAGTAATACAGAAAATCTTATACCAAAGGCAATTAGAAAATGATTTATATTTATGTCTCTTTGAAGACTTTATGTGGATGTAACCAACATACTGAACACATGGGACTCATGAGGTATAAACATACAGCAACTTTATTTTGGTCTCCCTTTGTTCCCTTTAAGTTTTGTAGGTAGAGCAAGTTCTTCCTCTGTCCCCTGAGAACTCAGGCAGGTCCTGTGACTTTTGTGGTCATTCTTAGGTAAGACAAAACGCTCCATTTAGAATTAAAATGCCAGTATCCATGTAATAATCAAAAGTGGTAACTAGGTTTGAAGCTAAGTTTCCCCCCAGCACTCTTAGCCAGAGCAGGCTGCACGGGATAGTCCTTAATGGGGAAAAAGGGGACTCACCAACCCTCTTCTATCACTTCTCTCCCTACTTTCCATCTTGCTAAGCTGCCTCGTGGGTTGGAGCATGCCCAGGGAGAAGAGGAAAGGGAGCAGGAAAATTCTTAAGGTACAGATGCTGCCATGATGGTTCAGTTTGATGATTCAATTCAATTTCAAGCCTTCTCTGGGCTCAAAAATAAAACTAATTCCCCCAAGAATGTGTTTGTAGGTTCCTTGGACATCTCCCACTCCTACCCCTCTGTTATCACTGAGAATCTCTTCTCTCTGTTCTGGGCGGGGCCTCCTAGACAGTCCCTAAGACATTGCCTATCCTGCTTGTCTCAGATACTTACATATGAAGGTTATTCCTTGCATGCATGCATTTGCCTCACACAGAACGCTTATTCTTTTTTAAGAAAGATTTTTATTTATGTATCTATTTGACAGAGAGAGACACAGCGAGAGAGGGAACACAAGCAGGGGGAGTGAGAGAGGGAGAAGCAGGCTTCCCGCCGAGCAGGGAGCCCGATGTGGGGCTCGATCCCAGGACCCTGGGATCATGACCTGAGCCGAAGGCAGACGCTTAACGACTGAGCCACCCAGGCGCCCCCAGAACCCTTATTTGGACACATTTTAGGGTTCTATATTTATTGTCTTGTGGTGAAGTCATGTGAACAATAGTAAGACTTTTTCAAGTTTATGCTCTAATTTAAAACTTACTCTACAGCAAGTAGTGGTATATTGAGCTTCTAGACTATTTCAAAATTGTCTAACATTTTGGAAAGGACAAAACTTACCCCAAATATTAGATCAGTTTCTGAAACAATCTGGGGAAAATCTTTCCCTTCTCAAACACACTCTAAATTATTGTTTACTCATGGGAGACATCATTACCTTTCAAGGAAGGTAACCCTCACCAAACATACAGATTGTTTTCTAAGGGCAGTAATTTCTAATTTAGCCCTTCTCTGCTAAGTGAATAAAAAATTCAGAAGATTGGCCATTTTGCTGCCAGTGGTGCCCAAATCGGCCTGAGCACTGGCATCGTATGAGGAAAGTTTTAGACACAGAGACTCAGCAGCTTCACTACAAACCTACTGAATCAGGATCTGCATAGCTAGGTTCCAGGAAATCTAAAGTTCTAAGACTCTCCTAGGTCATTCTGATAAACTGCTTAAAGCAAAATCCTTCCGGGGGACTGGAATATCTGTGAGTGTATTCACCAAACTCCTACACTGTTCCACTTTCAAATCTTTTCTTCCATTGCCTATTGAACATTAAAAAAAAGGTCATTGAGAGAAAGTCAACTCAGCAACTAGTCAAAGTAAAGTCATACTCCCCCATCTGAAAAATTCACACCAAAAAATCCGGAAACCTGAAAGAAGGAATGGAAATAAATGTCCTATGTAACTTTTATCCTCCTTAATCTTTCTGATTTCAGAGTTCATCTTTGTTACTTTCTTCTTTTAAACTGCTATAAGCCAGTAGTGTTTGAAGAAAGTATTCATTATAGTCAAATTTTATTCCAACAAAGCAATTTACTTTTGCTCTGGAATTTTGCGTATGTGGTTGATTTGGGGCCCTGAATTTAACTCCTAGCACCGGTGGGCTGAAAAAAAGTGAAATACAACCATGGCGTAGACGTTTTTTTTCATAATAAGAAAGTTTAGCTACTTTATTGTTACAACAGTAAAAAGTCTTTAGTCGTGTTCTTGCTGCGTTAGAATCAGTGCTTCCATTTCCATAGTGGACTCCTAGTTTTCAATCCAAACTTCCTTTCTCTCTCTTCCTAAAAATATCTAGAGACGAGTATCAGTCATTTGTTTTGAAGCAGTTAACGAACAAGTGAGGTATAAAACCAGAGATTGTTGTCAATATTTTTAAATGTAATGTGGAGGGCCCCTGGGTGGCTCAGGCGGTTAAGCGTCGCCTTTGGCTCAGGTCATGATCCCAGGGTTCTGGGATCGAGTCCAGCGTCAGGCTCCCTGCTTCTCCTTCTCCCTCTGCCTGCCACGCCCCCTGCTTGTGCTCCCTGGCTCTCTCACTGTCTCTCTGACAAATAAATAAATAAATAAATAGATAAATAAATAAATAAATAATCTTTTCAAAAAAATGTCATGTTGTGGTTGTTGGGTAGGTCAAGTACTGAATCCATACTTTAAAATGCTGTCTATATATTCTCATTTCTGGGAAACAGGCACGTCTATGTTACTCAAAATGGACTACATTTCCAACTCTTTTGCAATTAGTAGCAACTTTTCTAGAGCCCACTTCAGCAGTAGACAAGAATCCTGAAAATGTTTTAGGAGGAGTCTTTCTACATTTTGCTAAGCACAATACATATTGAACCTGGCTCTGAAATACAAGAGCTATTTAGGATTGCGTCTATGGCTAGCTGGGGTCAAGGGTTGGGTGAAAAGAGCACTGGGTGTGGGTACTTTCTCTGCTACAGCTTGCCCTCCCTTTGCTGTTGTATTCCATTGACACCCTTTGAAGAGCGGAGAGGAATTAACCATCGGGAGTGCTTTAGTGTATCTTTGTGGTTCTCAGCTACCAGTCAGTGGGGAGTAGTGCTTGCTCAGCTGCAGAAGAATCACCCAGGAAGTTTGGCAAAAGCACAGATAACTTCTCTGTTGCCTCTCTCCTTTTTCCCACTTGGTCTGGGATGGTGCCTGGGAGGTAAAGGTCTCCAGTAGACAGGTATGGGAATGATTGCCCAAGAGCTTTCCGACCAGGTGTCCAAGTCGAGAATGCTATAAACTGATGGAATTTCAGTATAGAAGCTACCACCACAGAGCCCATGAGTTTTCTCTCCAAATTTACAGGAGTGACTGTGTACGCAACAAAATGTGGGCGGCAGCCTTTGGAGTGATTTCTGCGGCCTTGGCAGTGGTGAGCGGTTTTGGCCTGATGTTGTACATTGGGGTGCCATTTGTGATCATAGTTGCAAATTCGCCGCTTCTTATTCTGGGTGAGTAAAACAAAACGTTGAGACTACACATTGTAAATGTGGGGGTACAGGGTAGATAAGGGAAGGAGTTTAGGTTAGATTAAGCAAAATAATTATATTTAAGTGGCTCTATAGATCCAAAATGAGGTGACAGGAAAAAAGAAAGTCAAATTGAATTATGTGTCCTTAGAGGTAGAGAAGTCTAGCACCCCGGATGGAAAAACACAGACAAGGGACATGAACAGGCGGTTCACACCCCAAAAGTCCAAAATATGAATCCCTGGAAATATAAGAAAAAAATAATTTGCTCTCTCAATTAACTGAGGGATGAAAATTAAACCAAAAGTGAGACACCTTGTTTTCTTGCCAGATTAATAAATGTCAGCAAGATTGAAGGAAGGTTGTATGGAAATGAACACTCATTCTGCTACGGGACAATGATAAACTGGTACACCCTTCTGTTAGTCCAGTTTTGCAACAAATCAAAAGACTTAAAAATTAAACAGGGAATGCCTTTGGCTTACTGCCACTTCTAGGCATTTGTCCTAGTAATTGGACAAGTGCTTAAAAAGTAGAAAAATTATGTTCATTTTGGCATTATGTAGAACAGGAAGGTTTTGAAAACCATCTAATCCCCTATCAACATGGGATTGGGCAACTCAAACGTAACATATTAAGATTTTGAATCCTATTCAGTCCTTAGAAAGAGGTAGATTTATAAGATCTATAAGGTACATATAAGACATATAACCTTTACCAGAAAAAAGCCGGTTATGAAACAAGGTGTTCGAAATAGAGAGATACAGTTGTATGGGCGTATTTGTACAGGACAAATTCTGGATGGACATATGTAAAAATGAAGGGTGGAATTACAGTTGCTCAAATTTTTTCTCTGTATTTTCCTGTACTTTCAGAATTTATAATAAGCATGAGAAAACAAAGGTGTTTATATTTGAGGAAGCAAGGAGCTTGGAAGTAGTAGTATTTGGTTTCCCAGGGGAAACAGTGATGAGCTGTATACTGGATGTCTAGTTCACAGCTATACTTAGTCACTCAGTACCCCCCACAGCAATAACAACTATGGTTAAGGTGTATATAATTGATTTAATGTAAACCAGGATTGGATAGTATGTGTATTCACGGGAGTGTGAACGGTTCTGTGTGTGTGTTTGTGTGTGTGTGTGTGTGTGTGTGTGATTTAAGCAACTCAAGCAAGAAATGTGTGAGGACAATTTCTGAATAAGGTTCTATAAATAATAAAACTAGTTTTTAAATGCCTGATAAATATCAATGAGTTCATTCTTGGTCCTTAGTGCTTCTGATTCTTCCCTTTTGTCCAGCTGAGTACAACTGAAATCCTCAAGGCCGCTAGCCATGGGATGGCGGGATGCAGTTTGTGACAGACTGTGTAGACTGACGTCCTTTTAGAGCCTTCTGCCTTCTTGATCATACCCATAGAACATCTGATCAGAGGCAAAGTTGCAATTCCTAGCGCCCTCCCATGGAGAAGATCCCCCCAAATTGAAATGAAGATCAGCATTTTATTCCACTTTTTGTGTTTACTTGTTTATTTTATTGAGTTTGTATCAGTATACATGAGTGGAAGTACGTGTCAACTCTAGTAGAAAGCTTGAGGGAGGTGAACTTAATCAGCAACATGCTCATGCTGTCCTTACTAATCCCCTTTCTTCTTGCTAGTCCTCCTTTCCAAGTTCTCAGTGGTGATTTCAAAGTCCTCAAATGTCCTTCTGTCCTCTCTATTCCAAACCAGTCGTGAAACATCCCTGTGGAAAAGAATTACCTTAGTAGGCATTAATATGTAAGGGATTCTTAAGATTGACTTTGGTGCATGTGTCTGATCTCAAGAGTACTTGCATTTTACTAACAATGCCTTAACCTGGGAAAGTAAGTTTAAATGCTGACATTCTGGGTACCAAAAACAAGCTAGGAGGAAAATGGTGTGTGTGTGTGTGTGTGTGTGTGTGTGTGTGTGTGACAGAGAGAAAGAGAGAGAACTATGTGGTCCCTCTCAAATCATACCACATTGATAGTTAGATGCTAACTGTAGAACAGATAAGACCAGCTTATATTTTAAGCAACAGAATGTTGGCTTGATGTGTTCGGGCATCCGTATAAAATGATTTATGAGGGAAAATGGTCTCTCAAGTAATCCAGTGGAATCAAAGATACACTGCTCATCCTGCTTCGACTAACACCCACAACAGTTTCCTGACTCGTCATTAAAACACCCTACATGAAGACTAGGAGTAGAGCATCCTGTGCTATGTACAAATAACGGGAGTACGTACAAAGCACAGAGTTGTTACAGAGGAAGGGGTGAATTCTGTGGTGGATTCAGAGGCAACCAGAGAAAGCAACTGGGAAAATAGTATCAAAGCACAGATTGGGCAAGATAAATAAGACCCCTTATAAGAGACGGACAGAGAAGATGGTTTGAGTTTATGTGTTTAGTTTTTAATGGGTATTAATATGCATGAAGATTGTTTCCCTTTTTTAACAGGTGTTGCGGTTGATGATATGTTCATAATGATTTCTGCCTGGCAGAAGACTAGCCTCGTAGATAACACAAAACAGCGGCTGTCCAGTGTCTATTCCAAAGTGGCAGTGTCGATTACCATCACCACCATCACCAACGTCCCAGCCTTCTATACAGGGATTATGACCTCTTTCAGGTCCATACAATACTTTTGCATCTATACGGGAACAACCCTGCTCTTTTGTTATTTCTATAACATCACCTGTTTTGGAGCATTTATGGCTCTGGATGGTAAAAGAGAAGTAGTCTGTCTACGCTGGTTGAAAAAGCCAGAAACTCCTGACCAAAAATGTTCCTCACTGAAAAGGTCCTGCTGTCTCCCATGTGATTCTCTCCCGGATGAACAAGAAACTGATATCCATCCGATGAATTTGTTCTTTCGAGACTATTTTGGCCCTTTTCTCACAAGCACTGAGTCCAGATTTTTTGTAGTGCTTATATACATTTTGTACATCATAAGTAGTATCTACGGGTGTTTCCAAGTGCAGGAAGGTTGAGACCTTCGATATTTGGCAAGTGACGATTCCTACATCACACCATGTTTTAATGTAGAAGAAGGATATTTTTTGGATTATGGTCCCAGGGTTATGGTTGTTGTTACTGAAACTCTTGACTACTGGGATAAAGATGCTAGGCAAAAACTGGAACTATGTCCGGCAGATTTGGAAAACAGTGACTATGTAGATAAAAATCTCACAGAGTTTTGGTTATGAGAGTATGTGCAGTATATGGAAAACAGCAAGCAAGATGTAAATGATAAGGACACTTTTATGAATGGCTTGCCCAATTTTTTAACACGTTTTCCACTTTTTGTGTCTGATACTAATATTTCATCGTCACATGAAATCATTTCTTCCTGGGGCTTCGTTCAAACCGTGGGTGTTTCTTCTTCAGCCGATAATAAGAAGGTGTTATCCCAGTTACGAAGCAGAGTTGAAAAGTGCGAATTCCCCCTAATGGTGTATAACCAGGCATTTGTATATTTTGATCAGTATACCGCTGTATTAGAAAACACTGTTCGAAATGTCATTGTTGTATCAACCGCCATGTTCGTTGTTTCCTTATTGTTAATTCCTCCTCCACTGTGTTCCTTGTGGGTAACTTTTGCTACTGCTTCTGTGATTGTGGGAGTAACGGGTCTCCTGGCATTCTGGAATGTCAGTCTCGATTCCATATCCATGGTTAATCTTGTCATTTGCATAGGGTTTTCTTTCGATTTTTCTGCACACATTTCTTAGGCATTTGTTTCCAGCTCTAAGCCGTCAGTAAACCAAAAAACAATTGAGGCATTGTATGGGCTAGGCTACCCACTGTTACAAAGTGCACTTTCAACAGTAATAGGGGTGTGTGTTTTATCTGCAGCTAAAGCATACATCTTCAGGACATTTTTTAAGATTATGTTTCTTGTTATGGTATTTGGGGCTGCTCATGGCCTAATTTTTATTCCAGTATTCTTAACCTTTTTTTGAAGGTCTGTTTGAATATCCACTAACAAATCAAAGACCAATTATAAAATTCCTGATTGTCACACTCCAATCTGATAACAGTGCACTATTAGAAATAGTCAATAAACTAAAAACAAAGGCATGTTTCCTTGGCTTGGAAATCCTATTTAAATTGTTATTGAAAATATCCTGGAAAAATCAATTAGGCTTACATTAAAATATCTTTACTAAATTAGGAAGTGTTGTCATCTTTATTACAGTCTATACAATCATTCATAAGGTATGACTTTCCAATTATTTTTTCCTTTTGTTTCATTGTTAGTTTATGCCTGAAATTCAAATATTTTATGCATTATAATATAAATGGAATATTATTTTCATTGTACTTCCTATATCATTAATATGTAAAAGTATAACTTATTATTTATTCTCCCAGTCTGGGGGCTTTGTATGCATTTTCTTAACGGTGTGTCTCGATAAAATGAAATTTTTAAAGTTTTGAAATCCAATTTATCATTTATCATAAAAAAATGGTCAGTGTTTTCTGTGTCCTCTCTAAGAAGTCTTTGCCTATTCCAAGATTACAAAAAAGTCCATCTATGATTTCTTCTCAGAGCTCATAATTCTACTTTTACATTTAGGTCTATGATCCATAGATCTGTATTTGTTGAGACATGTGGATAGAAGTTCATTATCTTCCCATAATAGTTACCCGTTCAGTTTTCCAGCATCATTAGTAAAAAGACTACATTTTCAGCATAGGATTAATTTGGCACCTCTGTCAAAGAATCAGCTGACAGTTTATGTGTGGCTCTATTTCTGTGCATTGATCTGTTTGTCTATCCTAAAGCCAATACCACAGTGCCTTGATTATTGAACCTTTATATTAAATCTTGAAATTAGGTTGTATAATGGGTCCAGCATTTTCTTTTCCAAATTATTTTGGCTAGTCTTTGTTCTTCCCATTTAGATACTAATTTTAGAATCACTTGTCAATTTATCAGAAAGCCTTCTGGGTTCATGACTCGGTTATAGTGAATTACAGATCAATTTGGGGAAAATAGGTATCTTAGCCATTTGGAATCTTCTAATCTGTGAACATGGTTTACCTTTCCATTTATTTGTGTCTTCCTTAATTTCCCTCAGGAATATCTTATAGGTTCAGGTTGATTTACTTTCCAAGTATTTTTATCTTTATGGCATTGTAAATAAATTTGAATTCCTTTTCCATTTTGTTTTTACTACTACATAAAAATACAATTGATTTCAACATACCTAAATTATATTGTGTAACCTTATTAGGTTCATTTATTAGTTCTTATAGATCCTTGTAGTTTCTTCAGCAGGTTTTATCTGTGCAATTACGTAAAGGTCACATAAAGGCCATTTTATTTCTTCTTATATAATCTTTATCTCTTACTTGACTCATTGCAGTGGCTTAAAACATCCAGCAAACTGTAGGAAAACACACTAAAGGCAGATCTCATTGCCTTGTTCCCAACTCTAGAGGAAATGTTCAAAATTTCATCATTAAATATGATGATTACCTTGAGGTATTTCATAGTTGTTTCTATCAGATGGGGGAATTTCCTTTCTCCTAGTTTGCTAAGATGTTTTACCATGGATGGGTATTGAATTTTGTCAAATAATTTTTGTCCATCTATTAAGATTATCATGTTATTTTTTCTATTTTAAGCTGAGAATGTGGCAATTTATGTTGAATGACTTTTTAGTATTTACACCAACCTTGCATTCCTAAGATGACTCACATTTGGTCATGGCATATTAGTGTTTTCATATATTACTGTCTTAGTTTCGTCATATTTGTCAATGATATTTATTCCTATGATCATGAGGGATATTGGTCTACAGTTCCCTTTTCTTATAATGTCTTCCTCAGGTTTTGATAACAGGGTTATGCTGCCCTCAGGGAATGAGCTGGTAAATATTCCTCTTCTATTTTCTGAAATATATAATGTATGGTGATACAATTTCTTACTTAAATGTTTGGTAGAATTCACCAGTGAAGTCATCTGGGCACAGAGTTTTTCTGAAAAGGTTTTGTTATTTTTTAATTTAAAATTCACTTGTGAATTTCTAGCCCTCTCCAATCACATATCCTTCTCATCTCCAACTTGCTAAGTTGGCTCCTGGGTTAGAGCATGTAGGATGGGCTCCACAGCTTCTCTGGTTCTCTGATTAGGCTTCCTGATTAGGCGGGACTGTGGGCTATATTCTGCAGTAGACAGGCTTTGAATTTGCTTCCCTGCCTGGGTGTGGTGACAGAACAGGCTCCAAGGCTGGTATGACTGGCCGGATGGGTCCATGAATCAGGCAGAACTTGCCACCAAGTTCCCTGACCCGACCGGCCACTGGCTAGCTCTGGAGATCGGCAGAGCCACTGGCTGGGCTCTCTGTGCAGCTACTACTATATATGGGTCTGTAGGATTGTCCATGCATCGTCCCAGGTACTCTGGTTAGGCTTCCTGTTCTGGCAGGACAGAAGGCTATATTCAGCATTAAGCAGGGCTTTGAGCTCACTTCCCTGCCAAGGCTGAAGGATTGAATGGGCTCCAAGGTGTGTATGGCTCATTTACTGGGGACATAATCAACCTGAGCTGCTCCCTGGCCAGACAAGGACACCAACTCAGCTCTGCAGATGGGCAGAGCCACTGGCTACAATATCTACTCGGTTGCTCCTGCAAGGAAGAATGCTGTTGGCCAAGATCTGAGCACTAGTTGCTGTAAACCCTACCCCAACTCCTCCATCTCAATCTGATCCCCAGGGTTCAAGCCTCATAGATTTTCCCTACGAGCCTTGTGAGGCAAGACCCAAGTGGGCCCTCCAGGAAGCAACCCACAACGCTGGGAGAACTAGATGTTCATCTTGGGCTCTTTTTCTCCCCACTGGAGAAACCATAGGCCCGGGGGAGGGGAAGGAGGGGGTGCCTCTCAGTGCCTCGCTGTGCTGGCCTGGGGAGGGGGTGATGTAATCAGAGCATAAGCCTTCTAATGCAATCCATTTTTAGTCTCTGTGTTCTGGGGGGGGGGCCTTCAGCCCTACCCCCATGTTCTGGGATTTTCAAATGGTGTCTTGCCTGTGGAAAGTTGCTAGTTGTTCTTGTGAGGAGGGCAGCAGTTGGGAACCACTGTGTTGCCATCTTGATGCCGTCACTCCCCTCCATGTCTGGTTTCATCTTTAGACCAGGCTTTCCTAACAGTTCTTTGGATTGGATCTTTTCCTAGAGCCATTTCTTAATTTTAGCAGTGTTTGCTTTCAAACCTAGCAGTTGCTTGTGTTTAACAACTTTTTCTCTAACTTCTCTCTCTCTCTCTCCTTTACGTTGTGCAAAAAACTGCAAAAGGAAGTCAGACTGCACCTGCAACCTCCTGCCCGAAAAGATTCTTAATCATCCAGCTGATTCAGTGCCTTTTCTAGTTACCACGATACCACAGTATTGTGCGTATCGACAGTGCCTCTCAACTTTTTGCCACCATATAGCAGGGACTCTCTTTTTCCCAGTCTCCAATCATATTCTTCTCACTTACCGCCTCCGTGGCAGCCTCCTCAAGGGCACAACGTCGTTAATAGTAACTTCAAGGCCTTTTGCCTTTCACTAAAAGTCCCCTTAAGATGTTCTAGCTTTTCCCTACTTGCTCAGTCACTCCTACATTTTGGGGGTTTTGTTATAGTAGCAGTACCAATGTCTATATTAATTCTCTATTGTTCCTTAACAAATTATCCCAAAACTCGGTGGCATAAAACAATAATCACATTTATTGTCTTTCATATTTTCTGTGGTTAAGGAACTGGGGAATGGCTTTGATTGGATGCACTATCTTGCAGTTCTCGTGAGATTTAGTCAGACGTCGGTTGGGGATGCATACATCTGAAGGCTTGACTGGAGCGGGAAGAAGATTCATATTCAAGGTGGCTAACTCATGGGCATGGCAAGTTGGGTTGCCTATTTTGTGAAGGTCTCAGTTCCTCTCCATCTGGGCCTCATTACAGGGTTGCTCATGATGTGGCTGCTGGCTTCTCCCAGAACAAGGGATCCAATTGTCCTTTTGTCCTAACCTAGAATGTCACATGGGGCACCGCTAATGCACTCTATTGGTCATTACCAACCCATTCTAACTCAGTGTGCAAGGAGACTAAAGGACATGACTATCAGGAGGTGATGATAATTGAGAGCCATCATTGAGTCAAGCTACTATTTACCATTGTTGATTTCTACCAGTTATGGGTCATATTTTCCTCCTTTGCATGCCTAGTAATTTTGTATTTGATGTTGGACCTTGTAGAGTATATGTGTTGAGTACTAAATTTC